CGCTCAGTGCTTGCAGGTCGCTGTTCCCCACGAAGTGCGAGGGCAACTCCAGCGCTTGTTGCGCCGTGAGTCCCCCAACATTCCATGTGGCGACACGTGCGGTAGACGGCAAACTCTTAGAGTCCCCGTCCTGGTGAAACTTCCCCGCTGTGGTTTGACATAGTCACTGTAGCTCCGCTTGTCGTGGGAGCCATGCCTTCTCGACTTCGGGCAGCGGTTTGCGCATGGCCTTGGCGAGCAGCTGCAGATCGATCCATCCTGCCCCCGCCTTCTGCGCCTCTTTGGGTTGCTCTGCTGTGGCACTGCAAACTTTGTGTGCCCCCATCCAAACTGTGCCTGTAGCGAACTCGACGTCCATGGAGCGCTGGTCGCCCCCCAATTCCAGGATTGCCCTCTTTACTTTCCCCGCTAGCTTCGCCCTGCGGCGTCGTTCCGGACTCTGGCTGATTGCGATCCAGAGTTTCCTGAGCCCCCCTTGCTCGTGCTGGCCCAGGGACATGTTGGCGTTCCGCACCCTCTGTATTGCTGTCTGCACCCGTGTCCTGCGCGCTTCTTCTGACTCAAAGGGCTTCTGGTCAATGGGCACAATCGCGTAGCCCCGTCTGACCCCCGGCACGAACATGCTGTCGACGTTGAGTGGGACGTCAAGTTGCTTCAAGATGTCCTTGGCCGCCTTCAGGGTGTCCCCCGCCAGTTGGTCCGGGTTCCACCCCCCGATGATGATGGCGGGCTTGCGCCCCCCCTCCGCACTGGTATCTGCTGTGCTGGCCGGGACCGACCCCACCGGGTGCTTCTCCAGGGCTGCGATGCGTTCCTCCATGCTTTGTTGCCCCGTCCTGAGATCCGTCAGCGCTTTGGCCTGGTCGTCATAGTTGGTGGTGATCTTGGTGAGCATGGCCAGGGTGGAGTGCATTTGCTGCGTGACCCCCTCTTCCACCGAGTTCATGCGTGTGCGGATTTGGTCCATGTCCCCTTGACTGCGTGGAGACTTTCAGCAAGATGTGCCCTGTCCTTGGTGCGTTCCGCCGCCAGGACTTCCTTCAGCATGTCAAGGGTGATTTGTTGCTCCTCTCGTCTCCCCCTCTTTTGCGGAGAGCCGGGGTCAGGGTTCCCCTTGCCTTCGTCGAGGTTCTCCGTGTCGGGTGGCACCGGGACCTCCACCCCCTCCATCCTGACCGGGGCAGCTGCCCCCTCCATCGTAGGCATGGATTACATTCTTGGAGCTCTGCGGGTAGTGTCACGAACTTGCCCTGCTGGTTCTGTGCCTCCCCTTGAGGTAGCACCTGATCGCTCCCCTGGCAAAGTCAACGAGTAGGCCGCCGATGCCGGTGTTATAGTTGTTCAGGGTCTCCCCCGCTCGCCTCGGAGAGCTGCGGTTCACCCCCGGGACCGTTCGTGACTATCTTGTTCTCCCGGACCCCCGCAAGGTAGGCGTGTAGTCCGTTGTTCGTGCCGATGTGCTCGATGGCTGCACTCAGCGGCACGGGGCGCTCGCTCTCTCGCTCTCGCCCGGGTTGAGGTTCCTCTCTCTCTCTCGGGCCCGGAACCTTGAACCACTCGCGGCTTGAGCCAAAATGGCTATCTATCTCTCTCTCTCTCTCTCTGTCTCTCTCTCTGTCTACCGGTATACGGGTGACGAGCCTCTAACCATTCATCTTTCCTAATACGCTTTCAAAAACGCCCCGCGCTCCTCGAACCGAAAACCGCCAGCAGCTGGATAAGTACCCAGATAGACCAGATCACATGTGCATGAGTCTTTGTATCTCTGATAGCTGCCGCCGTTGCTTCACGCAACGGCGGAATGCTTCACACAGCGAGAGAATTAGCCATCTATTCGGGTCTTCCCCCCGCAAGCTTTTCAACTTGCTGTTGTGGTGGAACACCGCTGGAGCCTTCTTGCTTGGGAGAATGGCCCGGCTGCCTAGAAAAGCCAAGACCAGAAACTACGTGGCTCATCGACGGCCTACACAAAGGTCGAAGCTCCAAGGATCAGAAGATCGCCTGCTGCTTCCTTACCGTTCTTGAAGCCGAATCGGCACAGAGGCGTTTCGCTACTTTTGGCAGGGTCATGCCGGTCAAGCCGATCCTTTTAATGTGGCCAGATATTTGCGATGATGCCATTGCCTGTATTTCAATATGGCACGTGCCAACAAGACTTGTGCCTTTCTCTGTTCTTGACTCGTGCACTCCTGAACCTCAGATATGCTGGGCATTTCTGGTGGATCTACAAGACCTCGTGCTTAGGAATCGGACGATCCGCGACAACGTTCCTGCTGATGTAGCACATCCTGCCATGACTTATCGTTTGCAAACTGTCAAGTGAAGCGGCCTTCTTGCAACCATTAAGCCTCGATACGCTTCGATGCCACGGCAAAGCCGACAAAGCAGCTGGATCTTACACGAACTGTATTCCCGGCATTTTCAGCTTAAGGGCTCTTACAGTCACAATAGTAACCTCCTCCGATCCAGGGAGTGCGTTCATCCGACGGTTCGTCGCAAGCGCCTAGAGCCATGGAACTCTCTGTAGGGACGCTAACAAAATGCGTGCCCCAATTAAAAAAAAGCTGAACCAGGAATGCAAGGCTTTCGTAGCCAGCTTTCCTACGTTTCCTCTGCTCTCCAAAAGTTTTCGGGTTTCGGCTTGAGGGTTTAGAGCGCTAAACATCCTGCTACGAGCAGCCGCCAAATTCATCTCTCCTGGCAATGCTTTAAATGGCCACGCTGGCCCCTGAAACTGAAACCTTGCTTCCTTTAAAGGACATGCATGACCGACGGTCGCAGCAACTTGTGAAAGCACGGGTCCGAGAATGTCGTAGATAATCAGACTTGGACTGCGTCACGCCATAGTCTGTTGTACCAAGCTGTAGTCTGTCCCTAAGGCTCCAGCTACTTACCTAAATATAAAATATCGTTAGTAACCTATTATTTAGGTATCTGGAGCCCTGGGGTGTCACATCATGCTTATTCGTTTGCTTTGCGTATTGAGGCCTACACACGGTGCCTTGTGCTACTTGAATGTTCACTTCATACTGATACCCCCCCTCGATTGGCCCGGGCTGGGGGGATAGATTGTTGAGGGGGAGTCGGTCGTCGAAGTACAGTAGTACAGTATTACAATAGTACAGTATTACAAAAGTACAGTAGTAATTTCATTAGCGCAGTAGTACACTAGTACAGCAGTACAACAGTTTCCGGAGCATCTTGGGCTCTCGCCACTGTGACCCTCGCCTCTCGAGCACTCTGCACCCGGCTCTCTCGCGACTTGATTTGCGGAAGTAATTTCTCTTTCACTTTATGAAAACTAATTAGATGGCATCTCTCTCGCAACTTCTGGACACTCCATCCCCCGAGACCATTGCAACCTCTACTTTGATGAACTCTTCGATGACCCGACTTGGAGGAGGCGTGCATGCGTGGACTGCGTGGCTTGAAACCTGAGAATTAAACCATGTCAATCTCGATTCCGCCTCATAGCATTGGAGGCATGTACTGGCTCTGTGTTAGCTCCCTGTACCATTCGTAGACATTTGATGAGACCTCGATCGGTTCGGCGTACTATCGCCAGAACCAGCTGCTCGTGTGGAAAGCAGCTGAATTAATGACATGCTGGCTTGGAGCATGCTGGACATGTACAAATGGGATGCCGTAAAGCATACCTCCGCAATGCACCTTCTGGGTTTTGGCCCAAGGTTTGCAGAGATTTCTCGTCGAACCATGTCGAAGGCTGTTATAGGAAGGCGAGGTTGCAGCCAAAGGAGACCCTGAAGGTAAGGTGCAGTGTGTCGCACCCTCAACGCTGTGCATCCAGATTGCTCTGGAGAGGTTACGTTCCGATCGGCTCCAGCCTGCCGGCCTTGACTACCGTACTCACAGTCAACCTTCAATCTGGATGTAACTCCACTGTTCACCATATTCTCACGGTAGAGATCGTACGTTTACGGTAGCCACAGGCTGCTTGTGCCCTCCGGCAGTTGCTGGGCACAGGTCTCCTTCTCTTAACGTCGACTTGGGCGGCGCTCTTGATTCATGCACCCTGCAAGACCTGCTCTAGTTTTACTCCGGACGCTGAGGCACATCGGATCCACAGCATGTTCGCAGTGTTGATCTTCCAAGCAGGCCCATGCAGACTGCACTTTCGAAGCTTGAAACTAAGCGACCGCCTGCTGTACCCTCGCGAGAAGCCCACTCTGGTGCGCTGGTTACTTTACGATCTTTTGCTTTTGAGTAGCGGCCCTAAGCTCCCGCACGCAATCAGACACAAAATGCCCCCATCCCCATAACCGGAAGCTTGTTCCTCACCGTAGGCATGAAATTACGGACTCAGTACTCAAATTATTGGACGATAGACCGACCCGGTGCAATGCCCTGTGCCGTCTTCTCATGTCGAGCAAGATGAAGCCTGATCATGCCTAATCCTCCCACAGCTTGTGAACTGCACGCATCGCAGAATCGGCTGCATCGCGAACTATGGTACATGAAGACCTGTGCTCGAAATTGCCCAGCTCCAATTTGGCTCGTCGGCCTCACACGCAATGCCTGTCAGGAAGAAGCGCAGGGTGACAAGTCATAGGCGCAACAGCATTCGCAGACATAGTGATCGCCGACGAGGAATGAAGTGTCGTAGTGTCATCATGCAGACTCTCTGGTTGAAACGCTAAGCCTAGGACTCTACAGGTCTCTTCTGTACGGGCCTCAACTTGACGAGCCCGTATGTTCCCTAAGTCAGCGAGAAGGGCTCTTACATGAGCCTGCAACAATGAGCTGGCTGCACATTCCAACACGTGCATGCCACAGCTCTAGCAGGGGCAAACACGAAGACCTTCAGTTTGATATCATTAAAGTGGCAAGCTGTAGTGAAGCCTCATGTCTCATGACCCTGAGCCAGTAGTTGCTCTCTGGTCTTGGGATCCCCCAAAGCTGCACCTCGCCTCCAACGACCTTGCTTTCCTTGTCAATCTCACAGAGAGAGCCCGAACCCGGACAAGCCGAAAGCGCCAGGCCTAAGCATCGCTGCCCTCGGAGTAAGTGCAAATAAATGCGGCCAAAGCCTGGTCCAGAGTCACCTCGGAGGCACGTCCTTTATCGGAAACGAGAAGATCAGAAAGCCCAAACACCTAGCCAGAATGCCAAGTGCCTTCACGCTGCCTTCTTCGATGGAACAGAAACACCGGTACTTTCCTCGATCCCGGGCCTGTCACCATTGACCATCTACAAGCAACACAATTGGCTTCCAACTTCACTTCTGAAGACCCGCAAGTATCTCCGAGGGGCCATGAGATCGATGACTGACGTAAGGGTGCCAAACCTGGAGCAAGTTGGCAACATCCGCTGAGGCGATCAATGCACACAGATATCCAGGGCGCACAGGAACTCACTAGCACTGTTGACCCACCCAGAGGAAGGCGAACTTGATGTAAGCATTCTGCTCATGCAAAGCCTAAGCTGTCCTTTCTTGGGAGAACGGACAAACATAACTCCGGCATGACTGCGCCAGATGGGCTAGAATGTGTAAACTCTGTCGCAGCAGAGTCTCAGATTAGACATGTGCAAAAGCATGTCGGTTTTAAACCTAAGTTCTCATCACACCCGCCCGACCATGGACGGACGTTTGGCGGAGAATGGGTCAGACAAAGGTAAATGGAAGGGCGACAGCTGCTTCGCTGAATGTCGGGGGCCCTACAAATCAAAAAACGAATACGATAAGAAAGGGATTCAGGATTTGGGAGGGCATATTGAATGCCATATTATATAAAAATTCGGGAAGATAAGGAGCTCTTTGTTCCTAGTTATTGCTGAAGACGCCAATGCTGGGTTTATGCATGTCTATGCAGTGCTTCTTCCAGTGTGGCTCATGAACCCGTAAACCAAGAATCTCTCGGTATTCCACACCCTCTGTGGAGACTCAGCACCCGGCCACTTCGTGACGTCATACTCCTCCCGCTCCCGGTCTCGGTTTGCTAAAGCCTCGTACCAGGATCCGAAGCAAGGCTTTCTTGCACACGCTCAGTGTCATTACTAAATTACACAGGCCTTTTTTTTATCACGACACGTATGGTTGCAAGTACATACAGTAGATTCAGTAAAAGAATGTACACGCTTCTTTATCTGGCTGTTTCTGTCTTTATCCTACTCGCCCATGTCCGTAAAGTCATGCATAATCTGTCACAGTGGCCATGGCTACAAGCACGTGAGCAACCTGTGCTGGAGTGTGTTGGCTCCGCACCTCGTGCATCACCTCTAAAGGCGTGCTACGGGCGAAGCATCCCATCAGCTGGAACCTGGGAGCGGCAGCCAGTGCATTTTGAAAGGTATGCTTTCTAAGTTTGGATTCTCCGGTCAGCACCTAGCTTTCAGCGTGGATTAGCTCATGATACGGGCCGGCCTTAATAAGGGCATATAAGGGCTAGGTTGTGCCACCTCTCATGCCTCAGTATTTCATTCGGGATCAACTGCTGGCTCGAAGACACATCGACGACGGGTACTAGCACTTGCAGAAAAACTTCACGCCACCGCCATGGAACACTGATGGAACTCAAGCTGTGCGAGCCTCTGGAGCTAGGCTCCCCTGCTCCATCTGTGATACTGAGCGCAGCATCTTGTGCAGCCTGGGGCTGGGGAGGTCCTCAGCCTCGTATCGGGAAGGGCGGGGGAGCTATGCCACACTGAAAACCCTGGCAACTCGCCCCAAACCAAGCTGAGAACAAGAACGACTCTGGACTTTCTTCTCTGACTTCCATCTCTAAGGCTGCAGACGCCGCGGCGGTGTGCGCCCCAGGGTGCTCCGCACCGGGGCTGGCCTACAAGGCTCGGGTCGTCTCTCAACACGAGGTTATGGTTCTGTGCTGCAGAAACCTTTCTGCTAGTCTCCAGAGCAACGCCTGCCTGAAACACTGAACTTCAAGCTTGCACAACCACACCACAGCCAGAGCTCTTTGAGCTGAAATAAGCAGCGAGTACAAACATTGAAGCCTGCTCGGTCGAGAGGACCCGTCGCAGCATCCGGTCCTACATGATCGTGCGCAGTGCGGGCAAGGCTGTCTGTGCTTCACAATCGTTTGAGGTGGCTCCTTTTTGGATTGGTAATGCTCTGCAGGCCTGGGTCTTGGTTGCATGTGACAGCACCGGCTTTTCTCTTCCAGAGGTGGCTTCCCAAAACAGGCACCGGAAGTCGACCCACATGAGGAAACATGTCACAAACTAGAATGCAAGGACGACAGAGTAGGGTGTTTAAAGCTCCTCAGCCGCCTGAGTGAAATGCTCATGACGTGGCAGGTGTCCTTGTGCTCGATCACCTCATTCAAACGCCTGCCCACTGGACCGGCCGCTAAACTTACAAATGCCCACGCCACGAATGCAGCCACACTTGCCTCTCGACTCGCACGCTCGCACAAGGATGAGTCCCCCCGAACAAGACTTCAATGCAGGATGGGCGAAACATGCCAAGCCGACAGAGCACCCAGATGCCAACATGTACGAACGTACTAGACAGATCCTGAATACACCCAATGAGCAACACCCAGCACCCATCATGTCACAAGCTCCAAGGACCGGCCAGACTGCTCCTCACAACGTGCATAGAAGCAAGGAGTGAGGGGTCCCATAACACGTGTAAGCACTGCCAACCAGAGCCTGTAGGCGGGACTCTGGGAGCCCACGCTCAAAATGCAAAGCCATGTAAGCCCTTCGGGGCATTAAATCTGCGAGTTACACTTCACACTTCACACCGGTGTATTGAAAGCACTTCCCATGGAAGAGTTCGAGCTCCCCTTCGCATCCTCCGACCCACCACCCAACGGGCCCAGGGGCCCCGACCGTCGGGCCCTGAAGGATGTCCTGAGGCAGTGAAGTCAACACGATGCTGCCAGCATCTAGGCCCCTAGGCTTACACTTTGTTGACTTGAGCTCGTTTGCAGGGAAACTTGCAGCAAGATGTTCTGCTCGAAGTTAGCCTGCAGGCGCTGAGAGTTTCCATGCTTGTTACTTGTTACTGCAAAAAGCCGGGTAGTGGTCAAGTAATCGAAGATGTCGAAATGCCGATCGTCAATGTCAAGGTGAGAAGAAGATACTGCAGCGACACCCAGCATTGCACATACTACGATGTGCCGGCACGGCGTCCTGATGAGGTGAGGAGCATTCCTCAGAGGCGGCAGGGACACAATCAAAGAGAGAGAGAGAGAGATATATATATATATATGTATCTATCTATCTATCTATCTATCTATCTATCTATATATATATATGTGGAAGTAGCTCTTCTGTTCTTCCGACGTTGCTACTGAGCGCGGCGTGACCGTCATGCACCAGTGCAACTCCGACAACTGTTCAAGCCCCCCTTTGTGCATAGTTGAGAAATCGAAGCCCTTCTGCGACCTTCAAACCACCCAGCGTTGCCCTGTGGTCCTGATCCAATCTACTCCGCATGTTGTCTTCATCGAAACAGCTTCATGGCAAGACGCTGGCCCCCGGCTGCCACGAAGCATCGCAATCGCCCGAGCGCTTCCTTCAGGGTGATCGGGTCAGGGACCGTAGTGTAGCAACCCTTGTGCAAAGCACACTGCTTAGCGCTCCTTGCAGTCTGCATACTGCTGAAAGAGGGACAGGAGCCACTCACCTCCAGGCTCCGGCATGGCTGAAAAGGTGACTTCCCGGTGTCTCGAGTCACCGCAAGGGCCTGTGGTCTCGGTGTCTTCGTCGCATGCGAACTTTTCTGCCTTGGGGTGGTTCTTGTTTATGCCCGGTTGTTCTGTTTGCACAAGCAGACGAATCAAACAAATCAACAGTCATCAAGCTGCTGAAGATTGCGCAATGTACACACGCCTCTGGCAAATGGGGGTGTCTGTGCCCGAGATTTGATTGCACGGCAAGTTCTCACAGCATGCCCTGACTGTCGTCACGGACATGCCGTGGCCACGGTTTGACATGTTTTGAAGTTTGTTGCGCAGTCATAGGAAAAGATGCTGCAAAGCACATCGTCATTGAAAGCCCACCGCTCTCCCTAAGATCGCAATCTGCAAGCCTTTCATTGTAGCGGGAATAAAATCTGCCTAGGGTCCGTTGCATCGTAGTCGCTCCATACCTGTGGCAGGCCCCGAGACTGAATACTGAACTATGTGGAATTTTGCTTTGCTGGTTCTGAGTAAGATATGCCGGACATCTGGCACTTGTCACGCTCCGGGTCTCCGGGTTCGCTCTGCCAAACCCTCAGCAAGCCAGACTCCAATGTGCACGCAGCCAACTGAAAACCTCGTGACCCTGACTGAGGACATGAAGAGACGTCTGCAGCAACAGCCCGCCGGTTTACGCCTGCAGAGGAGCCCCATTGCGTGACACCATGAGCTCGCCCAAGGCGCGGACGCACGCCTCAGAGTGTTGGAAAGCTGCCAGGATCAACAGCCGCTTGCACGAAGGCTTGTGGGTGATCCTGAAAAGTTTCGACCAACCTGACAAACATGGGTGCTGGCGTTCAGGCATGTTGGTACCAGCAAGGGCACATAAGCGAGACAAACAACTCTTCTTCTCGCTCGTGCAAAAGTCACAGTTGTGAATTTCCCTCTTGGCGACACCGCCAGTTTGCGAACTTCGATGTCTCGACATGAGCGTGGCTAAGCCGAGGCTTTTTTTGCGTGCAGGGGTCTCTCTGCCAAGACAACGACAGCAGTTCAACTGATCTGAGTAACGCTCAAGACTTGCCGGGCATCCGTCAAGTGCGAACGACTTGCTTGCCTACTCATGTAGAGACATGCCGAGCGTCGTCAATGAGGACATCAACTCGCACATTGAACTTGTCCTTGGGGTCTGCTCTCGAACACAATGCCAAGGCTGACCAAGACTATTGCTACTAGCATCTCCAGAGCCACACTTACATCTAGAGTCTAGAGGCCCTCAGAATCGCACGCAACACATCGGCTGTGCGGCCCTCGTGGGCTCCACACCACTATCTTATCAGTCACTGTCATGCCACCTTTTTGACAGATGCTCTGGCTTCGCTGTGCCTTACCCGAAGCTTTTGACACCTTTGAAGAAACTGCCCCTGCATCCAGCAAAACCATAAGTTCTGCTTCGACACCAGAAGCGAGGAACGTCGCATCCAACACTGTGGGCCGTCAGGGCCCGGAGCCTGCAGGGGATGGGGGCTTGCCGCAGGACCCAGCGGCTAGCTTTGCAGACTTCTATAGCCTAGCAGGGGTCTTGCTATGATGCTGCAGGGTTTACTCTGGGAGCGGTGATGATAGGGCTCGCAGGGGCGGCTGAGAGCGGAAACCTTCACCCGGAATACCTCTCTGGCTGAAAGACTGCTGGAAGGAGTCCGCCCTCCCTGTCCCAGAAAATGCCAAACCTCAACCTGTAAGGAACATTGAAGCTCCATCGAAGCGATGCCACCATCGTGCCTCTGCCAAAAGCTGGTCAAGCCTGACGATGGAAGCTATTGTGCGCAATGCAACTCAACGTCTGGGCGAAGGTCGGTAGCTCCGCACTCTTTCGACGTCATCGTCTGGGTGCCGGGCAGTGCACGGTCGTAGCCTTGGCATCGGGCTGTCAATCTTGACACGTTGATTAAGGCTCTGCAATCCCGAAATGTGTGTCCGAGCGAAAATTGCGCCCACATATTGCCCAACAGCCATTCCGGAGAAGATACTGCCCAGCTACAAAGAACGCACATTTCCCTTCCCCGCATGGTGCTGAGCAAAATACCGTGCAGAAAGTCTCAAACGTAGCCAGGCGTCTGAGCCATTTGGGTACGTGACGAAGCTCCTCGTTGGCCCGGTTTGTGACGTCCATACACAAAACTCACAACAAACCCTTTTTCCTAAACCCTAAACCTTAAACCCTAAACCCTAAACCTTAAACCCTAAAAGTCCAAGTTTTTCACTCGAGTCGAAGGAACCTCCGCCACGGCTCCCGCAGCGCCAGCTGCGAAGCCGGCTGCATGGAGGAGCTCTGCCTCGTCACCTGCAGGTCTCAGGCAATGCTTGCAAGTGGTGGCGGCATCTTTCTTTGCACAATTATACTATACACCTATACTATAGTCATCTACCCTCAAACCATTGGAGGCCCCTGTATGGCTTGAAGACCAGAAAAGGTATTCCTGGGCAGGTCTCGCTCGCTTTTCGAACTTCCAAGATGCGAATACAATTTCTACGATGCTCAATCATTAGCCCATATCCGTGGTAGGCAAAGGTGAACCGATTGGGCATGCCAAGGTGGCAGTCCGAGGTGAAGCCCGAAACCCTGCGCCCCTCTTAAAGCATGAAGTCCAAAGTCGGTCAGAGTCGAACAGGAGTCCGATGAATTCCGATGATCGCACTGCTGTCAGGCCACGAGTGTGTGGGAGAAGCTTCCAGACTCTGGAAGACATCGGAGAGACCCAAACGGAATCACCATGCACTCCATGTTCGATCTCAAAATCTCTTCAGGCCCTCACGGTGGGATTCCAGCGATTGAACAAACTGAACGAAGACTACAAAGTCAAAAGTGGCTGCTAACGGGCCCTGCGCCCTGTCCGCCTTGCAGCGTCTCTGTGGTAGCACGGCGGAGGTTGCGCAACTTTCTTGCCGCGACATCACCTAAACACACCAGGGACCCGGTTTGGATGTACGTACAGACTTCATAGCTCACGCCCTGCATCATGAAACGACCCACATCTGCCGAGATTTACATCCATGTGCATACGAAGACCCAAGCATACATGCATAAATACATACATACATACATGCATGCGTGCATGCATACATACATACATACCGTACATACATACACACATCCATCCATCCATGCATTACATTACATTACATTACATTACATTACATTACATTACATACCAAAACATACCATAACATGCCATACCATACATACATACATACATACATACATACATACATACATGCATACATACATACATACATACATACGTACATACAGACATACATACGTACATACATACACACATACATACATGCATGCATGCATACATACAGAAATACAGACATACACACATACACACGCACACACATACATACATACATGCATGCATGCATGCATGCATGCATACATACATAAATGCCACTCACAACCATTGATCCATGGGGCCTTCCGGAGAGCCCCGAAGCGCCAAAGCGAGCGCGGTCTGGCCACGCCTCAGCCGGCGCCACAGGTTCCAGGCATGCACAACAATAAATGAGAGAGTTGATCCACAACTTTGCCACCCCATCCCCATTCATCTACGCCGTTGACGGGCATTGCCTCTCCGAAGCGCCACAGACCGTATTCGCAGTCTCTGCTGTAAGGCACTTGAAATTTGACTGAGCCACTCCCTTTGCAGCGAATGGACTGTCGCCAGGCAGCGCATGACACAAGACAGTGCTGCCTTGGCATGGTCAATTGGCGTTAATACAGCTGACGAACAAAAACCAGTCTTCACACTGTTCACACTGCCCGGCAGCTGCAGGTGTGTGCCGCGAGCTGACGCTACCACGTTTGTTTCATACTGAAGGCATTTCCCAACAGTCCGCACACGGAAACAAGCAAGGATCGGACTTGACAAAGGGGTTCTCTCACAGAAGACGACATGCAGGTGCAGGTGTGGCCAAACAGCACCTGTAACCGTAACCTCATCTGGGCTCTCACCATATCAAAGTCTAAACTCACTCTTTCCATTCTTGTCTTGCTGTCCAAGACTAGACTAGCGGTGCGATGCAGCTTGAAACCACGCCTCCCCAAAATGCGCATTGTCCTGTTGCCCGTGTCTCAGGCAACTCGAAATCCTCCATAAGCCCATCGCCCAGGCTCTATGCAAAATCAAGTGTACCCAAGCCCTGCAAAGCCCAAGAGTCCGCACCCAGAGCTCCCAAAGCCCCAACAGCCCCAAAACCAGAACCACCCGAAGCCGACAGCCTTCCTCCCCAAGTCTTCAAGTCCTCCATCCCGAAACCCCTGAAGACCCTGAACCTCCCGGAGTCGCTGCCCCGAGGGTGGTCTGGACACGGTCCGCTTGCGGTTGGGGCTCCTTCCGCGCGAAGAGCTTCGATGTGTTGGTATATGGAAGGGCCCCCTTTAGTTCGAAAGAAGCACGGGACATTTTGAGTGCCAATGCATTTCATTCATGGAGGCTTTGCTCTTATAAGATCCAAGCTCGTTCTTTGCTGAAGGCTCTTGGAGCGAGGCCTGGACGGGGGCGAGCGCTTGCTGCGCAAGATGGAGCCGAGGATGTGAGGCAAGTCCTTAGAGAGAGAGAGAGAGAGATATATATATATATATATCTAGCTATCGACCCTGAGATGCATCGGCACTGTGCACCACCATCTCCTGATGTGTGTGCTCGCACCACCAAGGACACCATCGTCAAATCGAATCCCATAACTCTTTCCGTTAACCAAGAAGGTGCCAGGCATAGGGGATACAGTCGAGGGATAGCACCGCTAGGGAGGTGCAAACATAGAGTATGCGTACAGTGCTGCTGCTACAGTAGCTATTCCTAGCGCTGCAACGGGCACAAAACTTCGATGGTGCGACGGATGATGCGTGTGCTCTGTGCTCATGTCGACCGTTGATTACACTGCCACTCTCTGTGGTCTCCATTGGCATTGGCAGAGCCTCGCATGCAGTTCTTGCGGCAAAGTCGGCGTAAGGCGAGGTTGGGTAGTGAAGAAGACTTTGCAGTAGCCTACAGCACCGGCCAAACATGTGAACCAAAGTCTCGGCTGCATCTGACGGTGTGGAGGCGGACGTCTCCTGTTGGCTGCGAGCTTGAGCGCAAAGAGAGGGACCGCTTCTAGGTTTGCAGGTCGGGTCTACTTTGCGACATCCTTATCCGAAAAGTTTCGGCATTCAGGCAGGACATCGCACCAGTCCCGCCTGAAGTTTTGTCCTACTAGTGGCTCGTGAGTGCTTAGTTGGCCCTGCTGCTGAGCTATGAGCAGCTATGATCAGTGTGAAGCCTCCCTGTGACTCCGGCTGAATGCAGGCATTCAAGGATCCTTCATCTTCACGTGTTGCAAAAGCTGCAGTGGGAAGTTTGTCCAAGCTAGCAACTGCACCACATCGGATGTGGAGGGGAGTTCTTCACCGCCATCCCAATTGATGTGCAAACCTGAGCCCAAACCCCCCCCCCCCCCCCCCGCCAGATCCATTGACACTTGACCTTTCATGACTGTTGCCCGTATTGCTATCGACCCTGTAACCCGAGGACCTAGAAGGAAGCCTCGTCTGGGACGAGGTCCACAAACCCCACGGCGACTGGCTTCTCCAGCTTTTCTGGGACCGTCTGCTCCTACGAGCAGGGAGGTGGTTTTTGTTTGCCACGGCTTCAAACATGGCGGTTCAGCAAGGAGGTCAAGGAGGGACTTGGTTTCAGGTTGCATTGCCAAGGTCTGATGCTACGCCAGTGGCTCCGGCCATGCTCTGCAGTCGCACGGCCATCCGTTGCAACAGACATCCGGCTTGAACGGACTGAAAGCAAGCAGTATCCAGGAGCAGTCACATGGAGCCGAAACGGGTCCAGAACGTCATCATCCAGATCTTCACATTCCGCCGTGTCCTGGAAGTTGCGTTGGGGCTGTGCTTCAGGAGAACTAGGAGATTGGCAGCTACAGCCAGGCAGCAAGCAGTGGATTCGATGCTATCGATGCACGGTTTTCCATAGACAGCTTGAGGCACGTCTCCTCCGCTAGATGGTATACCCTAGAAACTTTCGAGAGGCGCTAACACAACATTCCCTTTAAAAACCAATGTGCGAGCTAAGGGGCCCATGACACGGAGCTGTCTTCAAGTTCTTTATGATTGAAGCGCTCAGCTGGATGCCAACAAGCAAGGGTCAATGCTCGTAACTTGGGAATACAAGAGCGAGAACTGTGAGGCCATTTCGATCAGTACTCACATCACCGCAAGAGATCGATTGCCACTCAAGGAAAGCCCACATCTGGGAGCCGCACCCCGAGTGGCGACGATGGGGGCGTCATCTGGGCTGGCGGCGCGTCGCCTGGAATGCAGCATGAGAAATCAAGCCGCGGTTTCGGACTTCAGCTTTGGAAAGCCTGTGCAGTGCGCGTGGCGAGTTGACGGGGGGGGTCTCTCACATACACTCTTCAAGATAACGGGCAAGAGCTGTTGGAAGACAACCCTTCTCAGCACCAGGGCACCGCTGCGCACCAGTTGTGCCAGAAGTGCTGGTCGCTCGTCCAAATACGCCTGAAAAATGGTCTGTTGGAAAGCGGTGAAATTCCTCACGAAGATGAGACTGCTTTTCAGCTCCCTCTCCCTACTCGCAGGCTACGTCGTGACGAGGCAAAGCAGGAGCCCTGTCGGGGACACGTCGGCGTAGCGTCGAGATTCTACCTGGATCTGGACACCCTCGGGTGCTGTCCATGGCTCCTGGATCCTGGCTTCTCGTCTTGGCAGGCATCCCGTGTTTCCAGATGCAACTACGAAGTGAAGCAACCAAGAATCATACTTGGGCAACAAATCAAGCACCGGGACATACAGCAATGATATAATCACACCAACTTGTTTGGTAAGCGTGCTGCCAGGGCACCGCCACTTTCTGGGGCAGGAAGGCTCGCCAGCTTGCAGGGGAGTTGCGTACGAGGGTGGACGAGTAGTGCGGCAGCTCGCCATAGATGAAGTCGACATGAACCCTTCAGGCTTTTGTGATGGACAGCTGTCAGACCTATGTGAGAAGACCTCCATTTCGGTTGCGGTCAGTATTGAATGTCTTTGCTGTTTGTTCTTTTCAGGCCATGGCATCAACCAACTAGCAACTGCAATGTGGAAGGAGGTTAAGAAGTGCGCACTAGACCAGAGTCGAGAGAAGATTCGCTGCACTGGAGTCGGCCTGGAGAGTCAACCCTAGAAAGCACCAGCTGAGTGAACATTATACCATAAGACATAACAATATTATATATATACATATATATATATATATGTATGTATGTATGTATGACAATGATATAAGATATAGGTATATAATGCTGACCGTCACAAGGTTGAGCCCTCGGCCTGACAAAGAGAAGAAGCGGATTGGAGCTTCAACTACAAACTCTCCTAAGGTTCACGGTTTTAGACGGTCCTAAACATCGGTAAACTCTGCCCACAATTGCCAAAAACGGTCGAGGGGCTGATGCTCCGCGGCCAAGGCCCGCACCAAATCACCTTGTCAGGCGAGGGCAGTAGCGGTCACCATGCCAGTGTGACACAGCGTGATTATGACGACTTCGACCTTCCATCCTTTCATTCTGGTCGCCGTCTCGCTGGTCACTGAAACTTCGTGTCCAAAGTAAAGGCTTTTTTTCGGTGGATATATGCGCAGGAAAGAAGGCAAGCACACGCAGCTTGTCAAGGTCTGTTTTGATCTCTGCAGCCGAATGAACAACACCCTGAAGGTCTAATCTTAAGCTCTTCATAGATCAGGACGTTCTGATTCTAGAATCAAAGCCCTCGGCATTAGGCTGCAGCATAGGTGCTGTCCACTGGTGCTTGGTAGAAGCGGTCAGTCTGGTTGTCAGGTGCCTGGTCTCCCCATTGTCCGGAATGCAAGTGGCCAGGGGCTCAAATGAAATCCCCAAAAAACATGACCAGCCTTCTGGCAGCCCAACAGGCGGAGAGCGGCTGACATACAAGCTTCTGATAGACATTGCCGCAGCAAGTAAAGTATGGATGTCACGAGATACCCTTCCAACGTGCACGAACATCTGCCGCAGGTCGCTGTGCGGTGGTCTTGATTCACTAAGCCACTTATAAGCCTTCCGAAACTTAAGCTCAATACAATCTGAGCAACTCGAAGGGGCAACAGCTGTGGCAATTCTATCCCTCCTGGAAGTGCCGTCGAGCGAACCTTGTGCAACCGCCTTTGGACGATGAGCCCGTCCAGCTCGCAAAGCATGGCCTGTCCACGCTCGTTGGAAATCCACTCGAACCTTGGTCAGAAGCCCCGCTTGTTTCGTGATCGCTGAGGGCAACCTGAAGGCTTCGGGTTTCGGCTGGGGTGCAGTGCTTCGCATCATGTTCCGGCAAGCTGACTATTGGAAACCTGCTCTCGAGCAAACAATCACGGACTATGTGAGCAAGTCCTTCTGAGAACTAGAGAGACAAGCACCAGCATGTCTCAAGCCTCTAATGACGTCTGAGATATGAGCTAGACGTCCAACTCGCATCCCGATTTGCCCTTCGTCAAGAATGCGACGCTAGGTGCCTTCAATCGGTGCCCAGGCCTCTTTCAATCTTGACGGCTCCACCTCTACTCTTCTAAGGCTTCTTCCTTGGTTATATACTGGTAACTATAAGCAAAGCACTTGGGATACGCACTCTCGTCCAAACTCGATAGCTGCAAGCCTGCAAGCCTCAGAAACTCAAGCCATGGCCGTGGATCACGGCAGGGGCCGAGGGGCACATCATCCCCGCAGACCCACAGCAGTTTGCTTCCCTCGGGATACTTGTTCCGCAGGGCACGCAGCATCACTGCCTCGAAATCAGTTCTATAGGTGACACTTGGAAGCATCAGTCTTTGCATTCAACCTAATGTCTCACATGATCCTCTTCTTTCGAGGAGGCGTTACGAATTTAAGGCAAACTTGAATGGCGTCTGCAAGCTATCACGTACCTCAACTTCTGGATCGAGGCCCCTGCGTTTGACTCTTCGGTCTCCTGCTCGACGGAGCTCACGCCTTGCAGCCAGGTCCCAGGACTACCAGGGCATGGAAACGCAGGATTCGGATGCCAGCACCCTTTCACGCGAAATTATAACACACCATTCGCACAGCAGGCTGCCTATGCCGCTTGCGGACACGGCGAGCTCGCACATTGCAACGCGATCTTCAAAGGGAAGCAGGTCCTGCGCTGACAAAGCAAACTTCAGAATACCGAGACTAAAACCATGCTGTCCTTCTTCACCGGGTGCTTGAAAACAGGTACCTTGTCGGCAGGGTGATCGGAGAGGTAAGTGGAGAGACATTACAAAACGTGTCCGGCTTGTTGGAGACCACCCTGTACATTAGAGGCTTGCCGGGGTCATGGGAATCAGCAGAATCCTTTCGGGACATGTCTAGACTGGTCAGCAAACTCTATCGAGTGGCAGGTGAAGCGAGGGGAAAGGCGTTTGGAAGCCAAGTGCATCCGCGCGGCGAGAAGGACTTCGTCGACTGGCTTGGTCTGGTGCACGGTTATCGCCTCGTGTACACTTCAAGGCAAGCCGGCCTCGCAGCTCATCTCCATCAGACCATGATTCCGACTGAGACGTGTTATGCATTTTGATTGAATTCACGAGCCTTATCTCTGACACTACCTTGTCCAGAAACCTTCCTAGTCACTTGCCAACTGCCCAGTTCTCACACTTCAAGCTGCGGGGCCTGGCTCTCCCACCAACTTCCACATGTCGAACCAAGCGGCAAGCAATGCATGGCCCAAGTGAATGGGGTTGAAGGATCCACCCATCACCTTAGAAGACATTGATGATACCTTCAGCTCTTATGCATGCAAAACCTGCGCAAGGGCGGGTGAAGGTCCATTCGAGACTCTTCGATTGCGGGCCTTTTGTTCTCTCATGCTTTCGCCTGAACCTCGGTAACAGTTGACAAGAGATCTTAGAGGACTTAGAGTATACAAGGCCAGCTTCACAATGTCGAACCAGACATGTTGCACCCTGAAAACCCCTGCGACGGACTACAAAGGAAGCACCTAAGAGTTTTGCGAGAGGGAACTGCAAGTACCAGCACAACTCCGTGACTCCCCGCCCCGGGTTCAGTTCAAGCATGGACAAGGCTTGGCTAGACGTTGCTTTGGGCTGAAATCTGCGGCCGCCCCATCCGCAGCCCAGGAACGCTTCAGTCTTCAAGAACTTGACAATGCGTGAGCAAGACAGGTTTGCGACGGTCATTGGAAAGTTCATCTCTGGCGCAGCAACTGCAAACGTCCTTCTCAGCAAGCGCTCTGGGGTATCTCGTGCTCTGAGAGCTCTTCTCGTGCTCTCATTGAAACTGGGTGCAGGCGAAGTGTCCCCCACAACTTTTGGCTGCTCTGCCGGCGACATGATGACCTGAGTCATGCAGGCGGGGGCTGCCCACTGCATCATGAGTCTAGAGCCGACAAGGGATGGTGCTTGCGGAGTATGCCTTACCCAACTAGCCCATGACTCGCAAGCCACAGTAAATTACAGAACCAGCATGCCCTCAACCCTTCTCGGATGCGTTATAAAGTGTTGAGGGACCACAATAGCTTGCCCGTCCAGAGCCAAGTCTAGCGAGCCATGTTACAGTCGTCGGGAATTAGTTGCATGACATGTGGGTCACGTTGTGTTGGGTGTCGTAGATACATTCACGACGAGCATCACCAGAAGTTCAAGCAACCGAGATATCTCACCCCCTACGTTCCCGACTCCAATCAGCAGCAAGACAAAGCATGGACTCGGGCGCTGCCTGGGAAGAAGCCGCAGCAGTTGCGAGTAAGCACAGCCAGGGGCTAGAGCCGAAAAGCGATGATGAGAACAATGTGACTTGGACGGCGAAAAACCGAAGTAGATTGAAGCTATGCCAGAACTTCAATGAGCAGCCTTTGTGCTTTGTCTAAATTTCGACCCTGCTTTAACATGTCTGCTGTTACACCTGGTCCTGCTCAGACTGGCCCCTCCCGCTCGGCTAAAGCACCCGCAAGCTGCAAGGATGTTTAGCCTGTTGCTTTTTTGACGACCTGGATCCGCTAGTTTTCAGCTGCCTTGCACACTACTGGGTCAAGCAAACAGTCCGCGGTGGCTGGAGTGGGTGCGCCTTCGTCGGCGGAACGAGCAGCAGGGTGCAAATCCAGCCTCCATCAGTCAAACGGACTTGCAAGTCACAAACAGAGTTGGATGCTTTACGTTCGAAGCAGCTTTAATTCAGCGTCCGCCTTACTGTCAAGCTGAAACAATTTGCTGCGAGATTCTGTGACCCCTCTCAGCTGTCGCTGAGGATGCACCCTGCGGGTCGTAAGTTCTTCGTTCGCCAAGTACTTCTAACACAGTGGCAGTGTCGACATGCTCTAGTCTCCTTTATGTCAGCGCATGGCAACTTGCTTCATGAAGCCGAACAGTAATCTGATCTGCCCTGAACTCCTGCACCATGCGAATACATGCAGTGGGAAAGTCTCTGCTGCATTTTGTATCAATTCCGCCCATGACTTGGTCGTCAGCACTGCGTCCACATCGGTGGGAAGCAGGTCGAGCTTGGGTCCAGTCTCTTCGCGAGAACTGGCAGCGGGGTTGATGAAGATTGTACTAGAAAGCATCGCCTCTGCTGTGACAGTTGCAGAAGTCAGTCGACATTGAGGCATTGCCACCGCAGTCGAACCCAAGGCATTGGGATTGGCTCAAGATTTCTGCTTTACGGCTTTTGTTGCTTGCCTCCATCAAATCTCATCCTTCCACACACAGCTTTGGCGAGTTTAATGTCCGGGCACTGTCACGTGGAAAATCCCGGCTGTGCTGCATCGACGCGAGTGCAGGAATCCCCCCCGCAACATGCTGCTGAGACTGAAATTAAGTAGGAGTGCATGTGCCTGAGGTACAGCAATTAGCTTCTATTCTCGGAGGTTCGGGGGAACCTTTGTAAGAAGATTGCCGTGTCCAGCTTGAAAATATTCCCCGACGCAGTTGGGGCGCCCTTTAGGCTCATCTCAAGCTTCAGTTCCGGAAGGCAGCTGCAGGAGAAAAAATAAATATCAACACATCCACGCGTGCCGTCATGAGAAAGCAGCTGCCTTGTTGTAAAATCATTCAAAACAACAGGTCGGACAAACTCAATCATCAGGGATGCCCTTCGTACAGCTTTGTCAGCATGCTGAGCTGCGAATCTGGAGGTAGACTTGTGCGCCATGCCTGTCGCAAGTGACCCAAGTCCGACACAGTGCATGCTACTCTTCCATATGCACAAATTTTAGAAAACGTGACTTCGCTTCGTTGCAGTCCATGACAAACGGGAGGGGACTGTAGCTCGGTAGATGCTTATCACACCTCCCTTCATCCTGGGGTCGGGGGTGGATAAATCTATCTTACGAGGGGGGAGGGGAAAGCAAATAAAGGGCGGCCCAAGCACACACAATGAAATGGTTGTTCCATTCCATGAAGAATGCTGCAATGGTTTCCGCAGAAGCTAGTGGAGTGGCATGTTATGGCGCATGCTAGCTAATGTTTCTGAATGGGGAGGTAGCGGCTTAGTAGAGCTCTGCATGAGGGCAACACGGGGACAGATGCTAATAACCAAGATAACAATACTTGTACTATGAAGAAAACAGTACCCATGACACGCCAAGCAATAATGGTTCTATCAGTAGTACCACGAGTCATGACGATCAAAATAATAGCAGTACTAGAAATATACAGACACGGCGATAAATGTAGTAATGATCATAGTATTAATAACAAAAAATAAAGACAAAGGTAATAACAACAATAGCACTACTAACATAACAATCATAACTGTAACAATAATGGGGATAATCATACTGCAACGACTAACAATAATAAGAACATACGGATAATAACAATAACATTAATACTAATTATTACACTAGTCACTAGACCCTGTTGAGGTGAAGCGTAGCGCCATCAAGCTGCAGAATCTGTCTTTGATCGCAGAGCCGAAACCCATGAGACCAAGTCGAACCATCTTGAAACCCTTTTGCGCGATTCCCCAGGGGTTCCAGACAAGAAAGAAGCAACCCAACAAGCTGCTAGGCAGGTTGTTGCACTCTTCGGCCTGTACCTGAAGTAAACTGGAGTATTGACCTGTCCAGGCAGGTCGCCTGAGGGCAGAGTGCGGCCAAGTCCTTGCATTCTCCGCGAAGGCTCTCGCCGCCTTGAGCTTCTGACCTTGGATCTTCCAGAGCACGGGGTGTGCGCACAATGCCCGCCATTGGGCTTACACAGAAACGCAGGATAGACTTTCCTGTATTAGGTCGGCGAGTGAGGCGATGGGCTCGACTGCGGCGTCGCTTGTGCAGTCCGCCTGTCTATGGACCGACCCTCGAGTCATCAGAATAGGATGCAAAGGGGTAGAGAACGAGCCAATTCCCTGCTTCGAAGCAGTCCGCTAGCAAACCCTGGCAAGCAACGACCTCAGCTTCGAATCAACATCAAGTGGCGGGTCTGAGGGATTCATGGGTTACTGATTGTTACATTGTTACATGTTGCTACCAAGACAACTCGAAACCATGGTTGTCTGGATTCCCATCAGTGCCCATGCTGCAAGCGAGTCTCAAGGGCCGGAAACCAAAGTTGCACCTGGGCGTGTGACCAGCACTGGGTTCAGGAGCTGCATGAGAAGCAGCGACTGCCGGACACCATAAAGCTTATCCTCAGCCGCATTATCTTGCCGGCCTGTGGTGGCCAGGTTCAATCTATACTCTCTTGGCGATGCCAGTCTGCTCTGAAAGCAGAACGTGCCGAAGGTGACGCTAAGGCACAGGTATTGAGGAAGCTTGCCGGAACCTCAGTTCAGCAAGCAGGTCTGCTTACTTCTCTTGAATTTCAGGAAATCTTCGATCAGCACACTATTTGTTTCTTCTCTCTTCTTTCCCATCCAGCATTTTCCGTCCGTGCTCCCTCTCTCTCTCTCTCTCTCGCTGTCCATCTTTTTTCCGTCTTCTTAAGAGAGCAGATCCCTCCTGGCATCTGACATGAGCTCCAGAATCTCGAAGACCCACGCTCTCACTCGACATTTTCTCCGTCTGCTTCGCTTGCTCTAAACGTCCAAAACCACTGAGCAGTCGTCTTAAGAAAAGAAACGTATGACTCTGGGCGCTGGGGTTGACAAGTGCTCTGTTGTGATGCAAAGATGGACTGTGGGCAAGATTTCGCTCAGCAGCCGTCGTCCACTGGCGTCAGTTCCAAGGTAGATGTTCCGAACCAGCGAGCGAGGGAAGCCACAGCGCCCAACAAGGCCATCTCGGACGGGACACTCTCTCAGCAACTCTCCGAACCACGGAATGCGGCAGGAAAGTAAAGCCAGAGACAAGCAGTCGGCTTTGAAGCTGACATCTGTAACATGGTGTCAGGTACGAGCTTCTTGCACAAGTCAGGCTTTCGTTACACTTAAAACTTGTTCTGTCTCTGTGCTGCCAAGGTGCAGCGAGCGTGGGCTTTCCTACGTGGCGGCCCCGACAAGTCAGGTCACGGTCACGGGACAAAATGCTCTCTTGCTTTACCTTTATGAATTAAATTCTATAAAGTCTAAATCTGTCAGGGGCAGCATCTGCCATGTCAGCCCAGACCCGGGAAGCCTGCACAGCCTCTTTCAACAACGGCTGCCCGGACCTGCTTCCACGACACGACGACGACAGCCTCTACCACTCTGCGGCGCTCGCCTTCACTATCGTGCTACAGTGACAATCACGACTTCCAGTCTTCGTCTGCTGTGTTGACTTGCAAAGGATCGGTCGGACGCTGCTTTGGCGGTCCCATCCAGAAGACGGCCACGCACCGCCTCATCTGCGGGCTTGGAGCCGCTGCGGCCAAGCCAGATCCTAAGGGGCTCGGCGTGCGTGGCAGAAGGCTTGGGCCTGCGGCCTTCATCGGGCGTTAGTTAGAGCTTGCTTCCCGACCAAGCTCTTGTGCTTTTCTCCCTGGCTCTTGCAGTTGCATCAGCTTTCGATGGAGCCTTCATGGAGAGAGACAAAGAACACCCAAAAAAGCTCGGCCCACTGAAGCCAAGGCCGAGCAGCACCCGGGCACTGCTCTGGGTCAACCGCACCACTGCCCGGCAGTACACGAGCCTCAGCGCTCTCGGACTCCGAGATTCAGACTTCAGAAGCTGGACATGAGCTGCTTCAGCGGTCGGTTGCGAAGTGTACCGTCGCATCAGAACTTCAAGGAGTTCAAAGTTCCGTAGGTGCACGAAGAGGGCTGGCCATCGAGTCTGAGCTGCTCAGCACGGAAGGAGCGGAGATGGGCGGAGACAGTCACCTTCGGCATTTTCCGAAACTTTCGGGTGCAAGGTGAGCTGCAATGCACTTGGATTCGGTCTTGCGGAAGGCCTGGTGTCTGTGGTTGGTAGCGAAATC